CACCTCTGACGCTTCCTAGCAGTCCCCTCCACATCACCACTGCTTTTCCTCTTGCTTCCAGACATCGTGGGCTCTGACTGAGCACTGTACTACTGTACACTATCACACTGTACAGTAAGCACACAGCAGCACAACTGTGACAATGTCTGGCAGACACGTGAGCTACTTCCGCGATTTGTTTGCATCTACGAATGTTTGTAATGTGAGGTCCGTTTGTATCTGTGAAAGTTTGCAACTCAAATGTTTGTAAGTCGGGGACTTACTGTACTCCACTCAGCATTATGGCATTAGACTAATCTGTACAATTTTGATAATTCCAACTATGAGAGTCCTTGTATATTTGGTAACATAATATAACTCCCAGAAAACTAACTACATTTAACATTGAACACAAAAATTGAATTTAGCAATTCTATACATGCTACTTTAATACTTTTAACTGTTGGAAGAAACCACTAGAGAATTGTTGGATATGTTCACCATATATAGGAAACCAGAGATTACTATTAATCTAAAAATGATAAAATTTTATAGTATCCAAATTAGTTAACAAAAATCCCTGTAACATATTTGTCAAAATTAGTAATATTATAATAAAATGTCACTCACCATCCCCAGCAGGAAGTCCTCTCTCCTTTTTTTCATCACATTTGTTGCATTCACTGAAGTAAAGCAGCAGGAACATATCCAAGAGTACCCAAATCAAGGAGGTGGCTAGGACCACCTTGCAATATGCAAATTTTCTCATGGCACTTTAAGTCAAATGCAAAATTTTAAAATATATATATATAAATATACAAAGATCATGAAAATTTTTCCAATCCAGTTTCATCAGAAATCGCATTCATAACCTATAGAGNAGGAACTGAATTAAGGGGTCGCGGCATTAGGAAGGTTGAGAACCGCTGCTCTACCTGGTTGTCAAATAATAAACTGTGTAGGGAAAAAAGAAGATGGAGAAGGAACCTACAAACTAAAAGAGACTAAAGAGACAATCTGTGGACCTTATTTGGATCCTGATACAAACACTATAAAAAAAAGAAAAATATATGACATAACTAGGGAAACTTGAACACTAACTGGGTATTTCATGGTATTAAGGAATCACTGTTAATAATTTTTAGACATGAAAATGTTATGATTTTTCTTTTTTTTATGAGTCATTATCTTTCAGAGATACATATTGTAATATTTATGAATTGTATCTTTGCCTGGGCCTGGGGAATCTGCTTCTAGTCTCACCTAGTTGATCACAAAAGGCCATACACCACAAGCTATACAGCTGCTTCTGTCATGTTGGCTAACTTACCACAGAGCCAATGAGCCAAGTGAGAGTAAAAGACCAAATTATAAACCACAGTGTATTTTATAACCTAGTCCTGAAAGTGACACTCTATCACTGCACTGTGTTACAGATCAACCCTAGTACAACATAGGAGGAGACTATACAGAGGTATCAATGCCAGGAGATGGAGATTGTCAGGGGACATCTCTGAGGGTATAGTACAAGACTATTAGGAATTGTTGAAGCAAGATGATGAATACATGCGGGTTCATTATATACTATTATCTCTATTTTTGTATACATTTGAAACTTTCCATAATAAAAAGTTTTTTTAAAAAAGGATACCATCACGGAGACGGAGCAAGAAGGTATAAAAAGACTACTCAGTGGTAGTGACTTTGTGACCCCTCTCCCCACGCGACCCAGTCCCATAAAGACCCAATGGTTGGCCAGGACTGTGTACTAGCAGCTTGCATGAAACAGAATTTTTTCAAGTATGAGGGGTCCTCATCAAGCCCGTAATTCAGGGCATAAGCGTATGTATCACACCTTTTAAACACTGTTCTTAACTTCATGAAGTTGTTCAATGTTCAAAAACTGGTGACTTATAATACACTTAAAAGATACTCATTAGTAAAAGTGTCTTCAAAAACCAAATAAAAGATTTAAAAAAAACCAAAACACTTAATAAGATATATTGAGAGTGGTTATATGCTCAGGGGAATTATTAAAATTACTAAAATAACTCTACAAGAAACAATAATAGTTGAGACTCTTAAATATAGGCATTATTAAAATTTTAACTGTAGGTTTCCCTGAAGAGTCTAGCTTTCTTCAATAATTCTTAAATTGTTTAGGAAAGTATATATAACTTGTGAAAATCTAAGATTGCAATGAAGCTTCTCTTAACTAATGTCCACTTAACCAATTACTGGATGAACAGATACTGTCCATACCTTCAGTTTAATTTTCACATGCGCAATATTCAATGGTTGTCTTATTATGACTCATTCACAGCTCTGCCATGTAGTGAACTATGATTATTTTTGCTTTCTCTGAAGAACTTAAGTTTTCCCTGGAGTTAATGATTGCTTTTTTTCCCTTGCTATGGTTTTCTATGTATTTATTAATAATTCAATCCCAAACTCTCCATCAGGTGTTGAAATCACTTCTAAACACCTTCAGCTATACCAGCTATGACTTCAATGACATCTTGAAGTCTCTGCTGGAGTGTTTTCTAACCTGCTCCCATCTGGGCTGGTTGCCTCTCTGCCTGCCTAACTCTCACCCAGGGCTCTCCCTTCACCATCTTACAGGGATTCCCGCCATCTCTCACACAGGCCGGATCTCCTGTCTTCCACATTGTGTCCTTCTTTTCCTTGGTTTAAGTATTCATTTGGTAGAGCACACTCTCCAGAATTTCCTGAGAAAGGGTGCATGGTAGTTCAATGTTTTGAGACCCTGTATTTCCAAAAAAGTCCTTATTTAACCTGTGCATTTGATTGTGAGTTTGGATGGATATAAAATTCTAGTTTGGAAACTATTTTCCTTTAGAATTTTGCTCCTGTTTCCAGAGTTGCTGCTAAGTTTGAAGACATTCTGATAAATAATCCTTTGATTATGACCTGCTTCCTTCACTAGAGAAACTTATAGTTTCTCTATTAAAAACCTAAATTATTGGTCTTTGGGAAAGGAAGATGCCCAGTGTTCTAAAATTCACAATGCTGTGGGTGCAGTCTATTTTCATCTATTGTTCTGAAGACGTAGTGGGCTCTTTCAATCTGAAAACCTATATAGTCCAGCTCTAGAACATCCTGTGGATAAATTTTCTCTCCCATTTTTTTTTGATGTTGTTCTCTTTGACTTCTATTAATCAAATATTGGCCCTCCTTGACTGTCATGTCAATTTCATATGCTTTTTATTATTGCCCATCTCCTCGGTCCATTTTCATGGAAGATTTCCTCCCAACCTGCTACTAAATTTTTTTTTTTATTTCCAAAAGTTTTTTTTCTCAGTGTATCTTTTTAATAGTATCCTATTCTTGTTTTATAGTTGAAATGTTTTCCAATTTAATTGGGATTATTATTTTTTAAGTTATCTTCTCCCTGAATAGTCCTTGCTTCCTCCACATTGCTGTTTGCTTTAGACTGACTATACTTTTCATGTTTGAGGGTTTCCTCTGACGTCTAGTAGTTCTTGGTTATCTGTTTGTTATAAAAAAGGACGATCAGGGCCGGCCGAGTGGCGTGTTGGTTAAGAACTGGCTTGGGACGCCAGAGGGCCCNGTTTTTATGCCCTAGCACCAAAAGGCTGTCAAAAGCACTATTTAACAATCTGGATTTAGCAGATGCTGCTAGATAAAAAGTAGCCTCCAAATTCTAGGCTCTTTTCTCTGGGTTGCCATCTTCTCCCACATTTTGGCTCTGTAATTCTTCACTCCCTTCTAAGCTCTGCCTTCTAACTTCTAGATGTTTTCAAGCAGATGATTTTTATAATTTTTCCTTTCTAGGTGTCCTCAACTACAGAGTTGGTCTAGATCACCAAGGCCACCATTACAGAAAATAGAAATCTTCCCTATTCTTTTATTCAAGGTTTCATTCCTATCACTCCACAGAAACAATTTTGTCCAAGTTCCAACAACCTCCACTCACTGAAATTCACTGGTCAACTTAGAGACCTCAACTTACTTTACCTTTCAGCAGCAGTTAAAATAGTTCACCACTTCCTCCTTGAAACACTGCTTGGCTTGTTAGGCATTATATATTTTTTCCCTCTTATCTAACCTTTTCTCAGCCTTGTGCTAGAAGTTCCTCCTCTTCTCAATCTTTAAAGGCTTAAATGTCAGTCACCTAATCTCTTTTGCATCTCATCCACTCCGAAGGCTACCTTAACCAGTCCCATATCTTTAGATTCCACATCCCTTCATGACTACAGCTTCAATCTCTCCCCCGAACTCCAGGATTTTATATGTGCTAAGAACTCTTGATTTCTATACTCATGTTTCTACTTTCCTCTTATTTCCATCTTGGTATTACTTTAATTCAGACAGCTGCTCAGGCCTGCATTCTTAACTCCTCTTTTTCTCTTTTACACCACATCCAACCCATCAGCATTGATAGATTACATCTTAAAAATGCAGTCAGAATTTGAAAACTTCTTCACCTGTGCCAGCTTAGTCCGTGCCACTATTATGTCTCACTCATGCCATTATTTACTCTGTATGAAGAGAAATGTAGTCTCTCATCTACTGCAGCTGGAAAGTGTACATTGGTACACTGTAGGTGCAATTTTTGAAAAATAATTTAATGAAATAAAAAAAGCACATACCTTTCAGTTCCATAATTTCACATCTATAGTCACATGGTTCTGACCATAACCCATAACAGATATATTTTGTTAATCTAGCATATACCTACTGAAACAATGATTAATGGAATACTTTTACTACATAAGACATACTCTGATATCTTCTATTTCACTAATTAAAATGCTAACAGGTACTCACTAAATTGATTTCATGATCCATTAATGACTAAAGGGCCAAATATATTGGTATATTCCTACAATGAATTCTACAAAGCAGTTAAAATGAATGACCTAGAATGACATATATTGACATGGATAAATCTCAAAATCAATGCTTGAACAAAAAAAACTTTTTAAGTTGCAGAAGATACCATGTATTCCCGAAAATAAGACTGGGTCTTATATTAATTTTTGCTCCAACAATCTATATTCATTTATTCATGTACAAAAATCTACATTTATTCAAACAGT